ATCCAAAAAACGTTTCTTCCTACAGCTGAGCTACCTGAGCCAAGAGTACACAAGCAAGAATTTTTATGCCAAAGTCACAGCGAGGGAAAGACATCATGAGCCCAGACAAACCTCCCTGCCGGGAAGCTCGGGAACAGCAGGAGAAGCTCAGGACACCAGGGGGCGCTCTGGACACATCAAGGCAGGTGCAATGGGGGGAAAAGGTGCTGGAGATGGGGTTTGGCATCACCATCATATTTCACCACTGGACACCCATTTATTCTCATGTATGTGATTCTTTGTATTATTAGAAAGTGGAATTTATATGAACATATAGCCATACGTAGGTGCATCGAGACGTCCTCTCCATCTTATGTGGACCTTTTCCTTGAAGACGCTGAGTCCCTGTATTTATTTGAGCACCTCACAAATTATGGTCAATTATGTAGGATCTGTTTCTCTTCTTTCTCACTTCTTCCCTCGTTTTCTCTCACTCACAAGCTCTCACACACACAAAATTCTACAACTTCAATTACCCGATGTATTGAAGACAATTTATTATAGTGCAGCTTTTCTGGTTTAGCTGATGTTCATATTGCTGTAAGAATAGGAACGTTGTGTTTCTCAGCTGTGTATTTCTCTAAGATAGCAGCAACTTTAAAAAAAAATACCCAGGTACTGAAAGCAATCCAAATATCAATCAGCAGCTTAATCATAAACAAACTGTGGTAAATTCATTCACTGGAAAAACACCCACTGTTACAATCAGGTACTGCTGGATATGCTCAACAGCAAGGGTGAATTCACAAGTACGTATGATGAGTCAAATAAGACAAATGAATACAAGTACATACATACAAATTCTATAAAATTAATACTAATCTAAAGTTACATAAAGCAAACCGGTAGTAGACTCTGGGCATGGGGTGAGAAGGGAAAGTGTAGGAACCAGAAATTACAGGAAAACAAGAGGAAATTTTGAGGGTAGTTGAGTTTTTCCTGTGTTGAGAAAGGTAATGGTTATGTCACTATTTGTCAAATTGTACACCTTATGGGAGGTCTATTATTTGCTAATTTCACCTCATTAAAATATTCCAAATTTAAACACACATAATATGGTAGAAAATAAGTTAGAGATGAATAAAATATATGAGAAATAAAAAAAGAAAATCACAGAACATTGGCATAAGGACTTCACCCATCAAATTGAAGAAATGTTAAATTTCTCAACACATAATTAAAGATTTAATTAAATATATATAAGAAATCAAAGACTCCTGGATATAAACATGAATAAACCCTAAGCCGACCTATATCTTTAGGGAAACACTAGAATACAACAAAATATTGTCATGATTTCATTATATAATGGGTGTTAATCAAACCACACCAGGCATGTCCGGCTGTGTGTGTCTGGAGTTGGTCCAGGGAACAGGTGTGTCCTGTGGTTAGGAGCCGTGACACCAAGCTCACAGCATTTGTTCTATTTGACACCATAAAAAGTCCAAGGGATCTCAACTGAAATGTAGTGTGGATGTCGCATCTGTGGGTGCCGCACACTCCCCCACAAGAATATGGAAAGGTTAATTACCTCTGGAGGTGTCTGCGGAGAGTAGTGCTGGTCTCTCAGGAATGTCCAAAATGGCACAATAGAACAAGAAAGGAGACTAGCTCAGGGTTCCTATAGGGGCTTTGTGGTGGAGGCAAAGTGAGGGCTCTGTCTCACAGAAATGAGTTTCTGGGATTTGAACCTCCAAATGGCATCAAATGAGGGAGTTCCTGTGGTTGCTAACTAGATTCACCTCATGTCAGAAAGAAAGGAGATGATGGAGGAATGAGCCTTTAATTATCAGCAGTCGGACATCAAAACAACAGTCTGATGACTTATTCTATGTAGCTACTATAAAAACATGAATAAAAGTATATCAATGTCCAATATGGGTGGACAAAAACCAAGTCTATGCAAAACAAGAAGAATAAGCAAGTCATAATGAAAAGGAGGAAAATGAGGAGAAAGAGGTGAAAGGCACGGGGCAGGGGATTATGCAAGAGTCCTGTTTCAGTGTCTTGTATGGAGGCTTTTCACTATCTAAAATCATCCGCTTATTCTGAGTGTCTTAGGTGAGCTGTCTGCTCCAAAACATCACAAGTGCCAGAGGATTCCTGAGGATATTCAGTTTAATACCTTCTATTTGAGATGCCTTACAATTGTGTAAAATTCTTAGTTATTATTGTTGTAATTAGAGATAGGCTCTCACTGTGTCACACAGGTTGGAGTTCAGTAGGTCAACCGTAGCTCACTGTAACCTTGAACTTCTGGCTCACACCATCCTTCTTTATAAGCCTCCTGAGTAGCAAGGACTAGAGGGGTGCACCGTAACACCCAGCTGATTTGCTTTAAAAAATTATTTCATAGAAATGGGGTCTTCAATATTGCCCGGCTGGTCTCGACTCCTAGTCTCATGTGATTCCCCTGGTTTTGCTGCTCAAAGTGGTAGAATTATAGACATGAGCCACCACATTCCGTCTGAACTGATTCTTTAGTTGCAAAATATCAACCCAAGAATTGACTGCCTTAATTTTTTCTGTAGCGTTTTGGTTAATACTACCTGATAAAATTTATTCTGATTTGTTTCAACAGCAGAATTTTTCCTGATTTTTTTCCAACATACGTAATTTCATGGTTGAAGATCACAAAATACTGTTAGAAGACATAAAAAGGCAACCTTAAACTTTTGGTGATTGAAGTGAGTATAATACAAAATTACTTTCAATATTGTGTAACACATGCATGCAATAGGATGAAGGGGAGCAATGAGGGTAAAATATCTAAATGTTTGTATCTTCCATCTCCCAAGTTATAGGGTAGTAACTGTTGTGTCCTGAGGGAGGGACCCTGATGCCATATGCTAGTGGGATAACTCTTGGCCAAGAGAGTTTCCATATTTTATTAAAGTTGTTATGTTTTTTCAATTTAGTGATGCCATTTTTTCAACATATTAAGAATATTGTGAGTGGGGTTGATCCTGTATGATATGAACAATGGCAATGCCGTCTACGTTTAGATAATACTACGCACCAGGTTAAGATTGAAAATTTGTAGAAATGATGCGCCATAACATTATTCTAGTTTCCATACTAGTTTTTTTTCTCTTTGCTTGCATTCCATTTCAAATTTATATGTGAGGTCTCTAGAATGTAAGAATTTATTTAAAAGTGTCTTTTCTTGTGGTCCATTTTGATGGGGCTTCCAGAAGATTTAACAACCTCCTCTGCCTGCAGCACAGTTTAAAATTCTGTACTACTGTTGGACATCTGTATTTAATCCTGGTCTTCAGTTAACCGACAATCTCTAACAAGTGCAATAACTTCTGCCTTCTGGGCTGATTTTCCATCAGATAGAGGAATTTATCCTAAATGAAAGTTTGTACTAATAATATAAATTATTAGTTAATAACCACCACTTGTATTATCAAGGTGTTATTCGTCAAGAAATAATGTTAAATCAAGGCTCTCAGTGGGACTATTACCTAATGGATATGCAAAATATTTTACTAATCTAGATAAAATAGATGTGAACACTCTTTTAGTATCCAGCCATGACTCCTGTCTACCACATTATTAACCACACAGTAACTTTGACTTCACTTGGGACTTGTTCTAATTTTCAAATTTGTTACGTATTAATCTTAATGTCTCTAGCCTATTTTAGCAGAGAGTGAAGAAAGACAAGCTAGGCTGACAAACTGCGTAGGCTGACAAATTTCTTGTTACTCTCTATAAGAACTTGCTTCTCTCTGAACTTCACACTTGTGTGTTTTGAAACATTAATTATTGAAAGCATTAAAGAAAATTTGCAAAGTTCCATCTTCTATGTTTATGTTATTGTTGATGCAGTTGTAAAAAATAAGAATATATTCCCTTTCTATGTGCATTTCCAAGCTTAGTAGCAGATTTTTAGTAAGACCCAGAATAATAAAACATTCAAATATTGTTCAGCTGCTTGATAGAAAAACAAATTGTGGTACATTTGTTTGCTAGAATGTTACCCAAAATTTGTAATAAATAAATGTCTGCTATATCCAACTACAAGGTAAAATATCGAATAATATATGTTAAGTAAAATAAGCCAAGCAAATAAGAATATATACTGCGTTATATCATTTCTATAAATTCTAATAAACTAAATGACTTGGCAGCAATGTATAGATCAGGATTTGCCAGTGTAGAAGAACAAAAGGAAATGCTGAGAATTCTCTTGTCCACCTTAATAACAATGATGGTTACATCATATTTATCAATTGTGCAATTTAAATGTGTGAAAGTTTATTATCTGTAAACTAAAACTTACAAAATTTATTACAAGCAAACAAATGGAAATTTAGACAACAAAGGCGTGATAGAAAGACAGAAAAATGTATATTAAATTTCAGAAATACTTAAGAACTTATCTGCCTTAACCCTAGTTCTCACCGTATTTTAGATGAATGCTAGAATACAGCAAAATCACACATGTTCTCACTACAGAAAGTGGGTTCCACAACCACACGAGGCACCCGCAGCTGTGTCCTGGAGTTGGTTCAGGGGGTAATCGTGGCCAGTGATGAGGAGCACAGCCTCAGATATCTGGGCTTATTCATCCCAGACAGGAGCCCTTAGACACATACTTTGCCCTTTTTCCATGTGTGGTTTACTTCATGGAGAAACCATTGACTCCGACAAAACATAATTTACACAAATGTGTAAAAATAAAATAGGGTTATCAGTTCAAAGAGTTTATCACAGTATAATTTTATAATAAGACAGCATATTTTCCAAGTACCACCATTGTCACCAAATTCCTGCAAGGCACAGTCATATTATCCGGGTACTGCCTTCTCCTCAGGCGTCCCACCCCAGAGCTTGCTATATAGTAGGAGACATGCAAATACCGTCCTCCCTCTGCTGATGAAAACCAGCCCAGCCCTGACTCTGCACCTCTGGGAGAAGAGACCCCGCCTGGGATTCCCAGGAGTTTCCACTTGGTGATCAGCACTGAACACAAACCACCAGCCATGGAGTTTGGGCTGAGCTGGATTTTCCTTGTTGCTGTTTGGAAAGGTGATTCATGGAGAAGTAGAAAAATTGAGTGTGAGGAGACATGAGTGAGGCTAACTGTGGATATGAGTGGCAGTTTCTGACCAGGGTGGTGTCTTTTTGTTTGCAGGTGTCCAGTGTGAGGTGCAGCTGGTGGAGTCCGGGGGAGGCTTGGTCCAGCCTGGCGGGTCCCTGAGACTCTCCTGTGCAGCCTCTGGATTCACCTTCAGTGACTACTACATGTACTGGGTCCGCCAGGCTCCAGGGAAGGGGCTGGAGTGGGTAGGTTTCATTAGAAGCAAAGCTTATGGTGGGACAGCAGAATACGCCGCGTCTGTGAAAGGCAGATTCACTATCTCCAGAGATGATTCCAAAAGCATCGCCTCTCTGCAAATGAACAGCCTGAGAGCCGAGGACACGGCCGTGTATTACTGTACTAGGGACACAGTGAGGCGAGGTCAGTGTGAGCCCAGACACAAACCTCCCTGCAGGGGCACGCAGGGCCTCCAGGGGGCGCCCGGACACAAACCTCCCTGCAGGGGTCCCCGTGACCACCAGGGGGCGCCCGGGACACAAACCTCCCTGCAGGGGTCTCCGTGACCACCAGGGGGCGCCCGGACACTGTGCTCGCGGCTGTTTCCGGGGCAGGAGCCAGTGCTGCTAAGGCCTGGCTTCCTGTCATGGTCTGCGGCTGCCTCATTGTCAAATTTCCCCAGGGAACGTCTCCAGATTTACAATCTGTACTAACATGTGATGTCTGTAAATGCAATACTTTTTTTGTCCTTTTTGTTTCTTTGTTTCTGTAACAGGAAGACACATCCTCACCTCCACAGAAGCCAGGGTGTCACTTTGGGGGCAGAAATAATCCTTTCGTGGTCAACAGGACGAGAGTCCTGAGGAATCCTAGAGAAATCTGGAGAGTTTTTTCCAGTTAGACCCAGGGCATAGACCTCCATGGGAATCTCTGATTAGAACGGGCTTTGAGTTCTGATGGGAGCCCAAAGAGAGGCTCGCCCAAGGTCGGGGTCCTTAAAACCTGATGGTTTTCACAGCTATCCCCCCTCGTCTTGTAAAACTGGGCCCGTCTGACTCAGACAGATTCAGTTGACTCTCTTTCTGCTAATCCATTTTCTTTCTCTGTAGACTTGATTCTCACAGTTCCGTTTCTTCTTCGCTGCCTTAAAAACAGACTATGTGTTTTCTGTAGTCAAAATCCCAGGCCTCGGGTCTGCAGAACCTGGGTAGGCTGAGGGGACTTTCTCGCTCACTATTGCCTGGACACTTCTGTTGTCTTCTGTGCATGGAGGCATTTGGGAAATGAAGTGGACTTTAGTGATGAAGGGAATAATACTAGTTTTCTCCAATGGGATACTGATGTAGAGCTGAACTTGTGCTTCTCACACTGTCACAGAGTTTGGACTCTCACCCGTGACTTTGAGGAGAGCTGAGGATGTGAACTCTGGGTAACAGTAATTGTAGGGTCTGCCTAGGCAGCCTCAGGTCTTGCTGGCCCTCAGGAAAGACAAGCTGGAATTCCTGGGAAGACCTGCATCTGCCATCCACCACGGAGCCCCGTCGTCTTCTGTTATGCTCTGATTGAATCAGCCCCACCTCGAATATCTAGAACACTCTTCATGACTGAGGAAAACATAATGGCATGCTCTCCTAACACCTGTGTTATGCCACGGGAGCAACACCTAAGCTCGTGTGTATTCAGTAGATGAGACTGTGGTCTAGTCAAGATGACAGGTAAAATTGATAGTTGTCATTATGATATTTTATTTTTTATTTGGCAATATAATCATGCTCATAAATATTTTTGCTACTTTTTGTGTGTGTCAGAGGCTTTGGAACTGGAACGACTGCATCTTGAATAGGGGCTAGGGAAAATAAGACTGAGACCTGCCGGGCTGGATTCCTAGTAAGTTAAGGCAGTAAGTTAGTCACAGGATAAGATAGGAGGTCTGCACAAGATACAGGTCATAAAGACCTTGCTCATAAATCTTACAGTAAAGAAGCTGGCCGAAGCCCTCCAAAACCAAGACAGTGGCTGAAGTGACCTCAGTTTGTCCTCAGTGTTCATTATACTCTAATTACAATGCATTAACATGCTAAAAGACACTCCCTCCAGCACCAAGACAGTTAACAAATGTCCAGGCAACATCAGGAGTTTCCCTGTGTGGTCTAAGAAGGACGGGGTGGGCCGGTGGGGGGTGGGGAGGGACACTCAGCTTCAGGAATTGCCTGGGGGACTCATGAATAATCCATCCATTGTTTAACATATAATGAAGAAATAACCGTAACATTGACAATCGGCAGTCCACACTGCTGCTCTGCCTCTGGAGTAGCCAGTCTCATTATTTTACTTGTGTAATAAACTTGTCTTACTCTGTGGATTTTCCCCGAATTGGGACCCCTTTCTCCTAACATTTGTGCAATTATTCCTGTTCTAAGCAGAAAACTCCAAGATGGAATGACATTTCCCTGCATTTTTATAAGAAGTATATTCACCCCCTTGAGTGAAAATGCACCGGGGGTGGAATGAGACTGGGAAGCTGATGGCATATGATGGAAGCCCGTCCCTGAGTGAAGGAGACAGTGAGGGAGGATTGGGTGGAAGGTCCCTATATTTTTGTGCTATGCAAGGAAGCTGCAAAAGGTAACTGAGTCTCGTGTAAGTCAGGGCTACCTCTCGGGGGATCCCTATGACTCCAAGAGAGGGCTCTCCTTAGGAATCACTGTGGAGTCAGTCCTTTCATTAGAGTAGACCACAGGACATGGGCCTCAGCACACGCCATGCCACAGATGTCAGAAAGCAGCTGCTGGGAAGCTGATCCACCTGCATTTTGCTGCCTGTATGTGGCGGGAGGGAGGGTCACCATTCTCAGGGTCAACACACCTTTTGTGAATTTTTATGGAGAACACCTGCTTTTACTGTATTTTATTGGAAAAAATATGAAAAAGTGTGCACCTGCACACAATTCTAATTTTCACATTTACTTCTGTTGCATTATTTCTTAATTCTGCATGACATCTTGTCACAGAGTTGAGTTTTTCACAGGGATTGTTCAAAGGATTGAGACCATGAATTTTCCACATTCACTGGTTTTTCTCCATGTGCAGAGACCTTGAGTAAAGTACATCTGGCCCTCTTCCACACTATCTCTTGTGTCCCTACGGAAA